AAATTACACCGTTTTTCTCATAAAAAAACTCTTCATTTTCTATTGTTAATTCTCTATCGTTAATTTTATCAATCTATTTTTAATTGTACAACAATCCAAAAAATTAATAAAATTTAAAAGTTTAAATTATTTTAACTAATCCTCTCTCTCTTTAATATATACACGTTAGAAAATTGAGAATGTAAATTATGGGTAAATCATGTATTTGTCATTTAGCTTTGTCTTTGTTTTTGTTTTGGTCATCCGGGTTTAAATCTTCTAATTTTATCATTCAGTTTCCAAATTTCATTCACTTGTGCCACCCAATAATTAAGTGTATAATGTTTAAAATTTTAGATAAATTTATGGAAAAAAACTGAAAATTTCTTTTCAAATTTGATTTTTCAGACTCTATTTGATTTATCAATTTTAGAATGTTTTCTTTCAAATCTGAATGGAGGAGAGTTCAAGAAAGAAAAGAGTAATAATATATCTCGATTCCATGATGATCATACTGTGAAGATTACATATTAAACAAAGATAATATTGAACTTTTGGTTATTTCAAGAAAATCAAACCGAGAATAAGAAAGATGGAAGAAAGGAGAACATCTTGGTACTAATTGTTTTGTAAACGATGTCATGTGATGATCAAACAATGATGAAAAAGGATACCAATCATGAGAAAGAAGACGAGTGAAATATAAGGTCAATTCATTAATAAAACTATCTAAAACAAAATATTTTTTTACTGTCGTAAAAGAAATAAAATTTACTCAATAAAATTACGGTAAAAGTTAAGTGACTAAATGCATAATTTACTCAATAATCATTCTAAAGTTATATGTTTTATTTTTTTTTTAGTTTGTTGGGCTTTGAGAGTAGTCTACTGGGTTACATTTTTCATTAGACCCAAACACTAGTATCCTTGTTGAAGTTAACACTAAACGTGTGGCCAAACATGTCGGATTTCCTCCGTTTCTAAAACCTTTTCACATAAAACGGTAAAACCCTTTCCCTCGTTGAACTTGAGCTCAGCCCTGAAACTCGTTTCTTCATTTCTCAAATTAAAAGTTCAATAATTAGAATAGATTAATTCAATGTAAATTATTATTTTTTATTCTCACAAAATTCTAGTCTCTATGCACCGTTCTTCTCACAAGCTTTCATGGTTAGTCCTCCTCTCTGCCTCCCTCGTAGAGTGATTTTTTTCCCCGATGTTCTTTCGTAAGCATTGGAAGTGTTTGATTTTTTTGTCTCAATGAACTTAGATGCCAATTTTACACGTTTTATTTTTCTTAGCTTGAAATACCTATTTCCCCTTGTTTTCATGGTTAATCCTGCTCTCTGCCCCTTATTTTTCTTAGCTTAAAATACCTATTTCGTAAGCATCTAGGAGTTAATATGATATTTAATCATTTGAGTCTTTTGATGGCATTTTCTCACTTTCTTTTTGTTTTGAAGAATCAGAGTCTTTTTGAAGTTCTGCCATGGCGAATGAGCTTTTTTCTTATTGATTAGTAGGATTGATGGTATGGAGTAGCCCGGTGCTATTTTTATGCTCATAGAGGTTTTGATTTTTATGGGTCCTGTTTGTTTGTTTTTAAAAATATTACTTCTACTTTTTTCCTATTTGACTTTTGCTTCATGAAAAAGTTGTTAAAGAACATAATGGTAAAAAGCAAAACCACATTTTGATTGAATGGCTAATGGCTTGAATGAAACCCACATTTAAGCATAATTGATCATTTATTTTTTCCGTAAATGCAGACTTTACTATTTTTTTTTTTGCAAATAGAGGGATACCTTTGACGATATTTGTTGCTTGTGCAGTGTAATTATTTTATTCATAATTGCTTATCCTAACTGATCGATAATTCTTGCACCGAATCATATTGGGTTAATGAATCCAATTTTCCCCCCTCTTGGGCAGTGAAGAGCTTGCGTATTGCTTTCCCTTAATCTTTCATCAATCGAACTACAGAAGCAGGAATATCCCTATCGTTGTTTTGCTAGTAGGTAATTTGAAGGATCAGAGAACATATTCCGGCCAGAATCTATTTGAGCCAGTTAGTGCAAGGCTCATTACCAGTGGTCAATTTCTCAATCAACCTCACGAAGAAGTTCAAGTGAATCTAGTTGTTATAAGAAATTTGCACCAGCTGAAACTAATCCTATTATCCACTCTAGTAGTCTTCAGCATTGGTTCAAAAATTGGCAAGAACAGAGAAAGCATAAATTGACAGCTAGCACATTTTCTGTGGCAGTTGGGTTTTGGCCTATTCGAAGGACCCAGCTCTGGCTAGAGAAAATTGGGGCGATTGAGCCATTTTCTGGTAACTTAGCTACATGTTGGAGCAATATCAAAGAAGAGGCAGCACTTGAAAGATATTAACTGATTACCGGGAATACAGTTGATTTTCCTGAATTTCAGGTTTATGGTAAGATGAATCCAGAAGATAGTTGGTTCGTAGCTTCACCTGATGGTTTAGTGGACCAGTTTGTTTATGGGTTGTCTCTTAGAGGAGTATTGGAGATAAAATGTCCATTTTTCGGTGGAGATATGAGCAAGGCTTTCCCTTGGAGGCGTATCCCTCTCTATTGCATTCCACAAGCTCAGGGTTTAATGGAAATCATGGACCGGGTTTGGATGGACTTCTATGTTTGGACTCCAAAAGGAAGCAGTCTGTTTAGGATATACCGAGATGTAGAGTACTGGGCTGCTCTCAAATTGGCACTCTTTGATTTTTTGTGGAAGCATGTTCAGCCAGCCAAAGAAATATGAGGTAAATACGTGATAACAGATCCCCTTAGAGAATTAAAGTCAGTAAGGCCAGCATCCAGGCATGAATTATGTGGCTATATAGTTTGTGAAAGTAAACGTATCGGTGATAACTCTAATTTGTTGATGCGTGAAATAAACGAAAAATTGACAGACATTTGCTTGCCGAGATATTGAATTTTGAACCAAGTCTAATTCATTAATAGCAATGCATTATTGAGCATTTTAACAATTATTGAAAATTCTGGTTACTATGAATTCTTTCCTCTAAAATCAAGGTTGGGGGTCTTTGTTAATAATGGTTGCCAACCTGGATATACGGAGCTACTATTAGGGGAACTTCTCCCTTTAGTTGGACAAGTTTGAATGGATATAGTTTTTGAAAGAGTTCATAGGAACCTCGGTTGAGAAGTGAATATTGAGAAATGAAGAAGACTATATTGCCAAATATGGTGTTTAGATGTTTGTAATCCATCACGCCCTTGCAATGCTTCAAATGGTTTGGGATGGAAAAGTTAAGGTAGCTCTTTGTTGATTCTGGTTGACTTTCGCAAGGTTGGACATCAAAGTCTTGCTGGCATTATTCTAATAAAACACTGTTACATGGTTGCTGGAATTTCTTGATTAGCGGTTGACCTTGATATATTACACTAATTTTAGAAAAGTTGTAAGTATCCTAATCGACAAGCTTATACATGGAATCGCCTTGCTCGTATTTTTGGTGATCTTCTGGCCAGGCTGATTCCTGCTGTAAGAAGTTATTCCTTCTGGTTGTTGGGGACCTGGTATATTTTATGTACGCCCCTTTACTTACTTCCAGTAGTATACAATTATGACACATTTAGAGAAAAAGGCTACAATTGCCTTCAGGGAATGTAGAAAGTTGATCCAAGCATATTCCTCCAGTCAAATCTAATCTTAAAGGGGGTTAGAGGCCTCCAATGTAGATTCAAGGAAGGGTCAGCATAAGGTTAGCATTTCTAGTTACATATCTTATATTGGGATGGGAGAAAGTGCTCAAAAGCATGCTTGCTTCAGATTCAAATGAGGCTGATTTATTGTGATATATGTTTCTTGAAAGTAATTATTCAACTTTTACTAAAGTGAATTACCTATACGGTTTCTTGTGCTATATATTCTGCATCTATTGCATATTTTAACATGTAAACTAAGAGATGTCTGCCATTAGATAATTGTTTCTTCGAGGATACCTTTGTATATGAATGCAATTTTTTGTCTGTTGCCAAGCTAGCGCCACTGTTACATATTCGTTCAATGTCTAAACACTCCTGTTGTAATGAATGGATTTTCATACAAAAGAAGAAAGCTTAATATATATATAATCAGTTGAATGCAAGATTAGTGAAGCTTGTTTGTATATGAAGAGTATAGAAACAGGTTTGTCGAACCCTTTTTCCATGGACCCTTTTATGAAACGAAATGGGATGCGTACTTTGGTTGCAGCGACCTTGTCAGATGCATTTCCATGGCGTTTAGGCCTTCAGTATCTGCCTATTCGAGATATTATTCTACACGTTGGGGTCAATCTAACTATTTGAATCACTTTTAGTCTTAAAAGAGGCTAATGCAAAAAACTCAAATTTTCCAGTTAATTGTCGATGGATTTATTGCCAACATGCGGAATTTACCATGTGGTGATATGGTGGATTTTCATTGTGCAAATGAAATAGATAATATTATGATTGGACAAAAGGATGTATGTTATGTCGATATGATCCATTGCTAGAAAACATCATAATACACTTTGTTAAGGACCAGTCTTCCCATTTTCAGATAGGCTCCCATTCCATAGCATATAAAATTTTCACCTATAGGTCAAGTATAAATCATGTAATGTTATTCGGTTCTTCATTTTTTTATATTTTGAAATTTCTTAAGAGGATGTATTTTCGTATTTATTTTAGACATACATGAGTATTATTTTTTCAAATATCCTCCAAATACTTAGAAATCTTTAAAAAATTGTAGTTACGTATGATATATACTAATGTCCGACATTTAGTTCAGGGATTTAATTTAATAGTTTTAAAATGAACTAAATCAGATTTAAATAAGTTATTCGCTTAAAATAAATTTATAGACATAATAAAAAAAAAGATATAGAAATAATCCTAATGAAGCTTTTTGTTTTAAAAGAAAATGATTTTGGCTCTTTATTCCGGTTGAGTTGGCCTATTCTAGTGCCTGCTAGGCTGCTTACCGCATATAAATTCCCAAACCCAGCAAATAAATAATCCTGAAAAAGGAAGTATTGAATTTGAAGGGAAGCATCTAGAATGGCGACACCACCGAAGAACATCGAGGGTTTCTACAAGCAAAAGAAGAGCAACACTTCCAAATCAAAATCCTCAAACTCAACCAAACATGCCGCCGCTACTTCCGGTTCCAATATCGCCCAACCGCCGGCCCTCGTTTCCCACGGCGGTTCTCTCGATCTCGAAGGTCACTCTCCTTTTCCTTTCTCCACCTTAGAAATGGGTATTCATTCGTAGAACTGAAACTTTTTTTTTGTTTAATAGCAGACGATTTCGACGAGGAGCAGCAAGTATTGAGGCAATTTGATATGAACATGGAGTTCGGACCATGCATTGGTATACCGAGAATTGATCGCTGGGAAAGAGCTCGAAGATTGGGTCTCAATCCTCCTAAAGAGATTGAAAGTATTCTCAAACGTGGTAAAGTGAAGCGACAATCTTTATTTGGTGGTCGCACTTAGTGGTACTTTATTACGTTCGGATGAAATCAATGTACAGATTCTGGATTTTCTCGTTGAATGTTGTCATGAAACTGTGAAGATTTGCTGCTCTTAAATGCACAGATTACAACTCTCTAAACTCTTTAGTTTCCTTCTAAAAAACATAGAGAAATAATCAAGGGGGCGAAAGTGCAAAACAAGATTCTAAAGTAATTAGGCTCAAAATCAAAGCCCCAGATTATTTGACACAAGGATCTGGAATTCGGTGACTAAACCAAACACATGATAAAGCATCAATCAATGACAAAATTTAAGCTCAAAGGTGTTGTAAATTGAGGGGGGGGGGGAATACAAGATGGTATAATCCTATGCTCACTGCAGCAAGTGTTTCTCAACAACCGCTCTCCCAAACTTCTCCTGCATGTCTTTCGGTGTTTCAACCTACAATCATGCAATTTATTATGTTATTCAGGTTGCCCAACAATGTCTTGTTTTAAACCCTATTCACTGAGTTACTTACTGCATTGAGGGCTTTAAAAACAGCCTTGACGGTGTTGTGAGGATTCCTTGAGCCAATAACCTGGGAAGATAGTTAAGATGAGCAATAAAAAAGTTGAATTCTAAAAACAATTGTAAGGGAACCCCCCCCCCAAACCAAAAAAATAACACTATATATATGCTAATGTCAAACATATCTCTAAATCCGATTATACGACGGAATCCGAGTAAAACACAGAATCAATGACGCTTGATTACCTTTGATTTGATATTGTTAAAGCCAGCTAAAAGCAAAATGTTTTCAACGGTTCTTCCAGCTCTCATACCCGATGCAGTTGGTGCAGGCCAGAGATAGACCTTACCAAAGCATAAATGGTTTAAAATAGAGTGAATGCAGAGAACTCGAGCATCAACAAACGTGAACATTCTCAAAACCAAGATTGAGTTAAAATGGTGATATTATAAGATAGTTATGCGTACCTTAGTCTTCTTATATGATGCTTGAATTGCATGGGCTATAGTGTGCTCCTCATGTCGTTCAATATAGTGAAGATTCTGAAAGCATTTCTCATGTGCCTGTTTTAGGTTACATGAGTCAGTACATGTCACGTAAATTCATAGAGCTAGTGACATTAATAAATGATTGGTGATATTCAAGAACATGTTCATGGGAGACAACATTGATGATATTATACACCTTTCAAATTAATTTGATTTCCCTACTACACCCCAGAATCATAACATCATGGTAAGAAAGTAACCATAAAAAAGCCAATCATAACTAAAGCTGAAAATTATTGCGAATAGCAGGGCGTAAAACATGTCTGTCTGAATAGACCAGATTTACCAGCCAAGTAATAGAAGATAAAGAATCGATTCACCTATTGGTTATATGGTGCAGAATTAAATAACAGTATAAATAAAAGCAGTGGAAAGTTACCCTTTGGACTGCAATTGGGACTGCATCGGCTTTGGCTTTTGCATATCCAACAACACCATGATAGTTTCCACACACCATCAAAACGGTGTATTTGACCACTTGCCCTCCCTGAACAATATCAACTTCAAATGAGTTACACAGAAATCAATCTAACAACAAAACTCAGTCAAATTGCATTATATTACCTTTGTTACTTTACAAGTTCGATTTATATCTATCAACCTCAAATCAAAACCCTGCCATAATTCAATAAAATCAGAGTAAGTTACATGCAACATGAAACTACTTGAAAAACACAAAGTTGATACTTGAAACAAAACAATGCAAATAATTTATCATCAAATGATACATACTTGTGAATGATGGTTAAGGTCATACAGAGAATTAATATACAGAACTGTAAAGGAGAGGAGTCAGACCGCAATGGAAACCATCCTGGCTAGAAAAAATAGCACGCTAACAACCCTTACAAAATTGAATTGACACAAATCAACCAAAACAAATTTGTACTTCTGCTAGAACCCAGAACAGTTTATTTTGCCAATCCAAATAAAAGAAAGCTATATTTCTACAAGAGAGGGCCAAATAGCCTGCCCATGAAAAGCATGAATATAAATAAAATATATTTACAAAAATTTAAGAATAATATTAGCTTAGAATTCTGTCCCTCAACCATTTCAAAAATAACTTAACTATATGAACTTTGAATCAAAATAAATGAAGAAGGTCTAGCATACAGTTACCTTTCTGTAAAGAGGTCTTCTTTTCTTCTCTGTCAAAGAATTTCTTTCCTCTGCAAGGTATCTGATTTCCTCCTCTAGAAGCTTACCCTTCCTGCCGAATGTATAATCCAACTCTGCCAGTTTCTCTTCAAGTTTCTTGTCAATAGCATTGAGCTTCTCCAATAGTATATTATCTTTCTCTTTCATGTCATCAAACTCTTCTTCTTCCTCATCCTCATCATCTTTTCTTACTATTTTCTTCTGATTCTCCTCTTCAGCTTCTTCCTCATGATCAACAGGAGGACCAACTTGTTGATTATTCATAACTTTATAATTGGCAGGATTATTGGGATCATAGCGTTCCCTCCATTGAAGGAGCCTCACTGCCCTATTCAATTTTTGCTGAAGGATAAATTTCTCCTTGCCTTCTGCAACCTTAAGTAGATTCATCAAGTCGCCAATGACCCTATACTCTGGGCTAAGTTTAAAATGCTTTTCCTCAAACTTGTCAATTTTATCCATCCATTTAAAAGCATCATCAAGTGTCACTGTCAAGTGCAACAATGTAATTTGTCAACAATCGATGAATTTCATAAATATCACTTATAAACAAAAAAAAATTATGCAGTAAATGATGTTATTATATTCATATCACTAAGTAAACATAAGGCATCTTTATTTTAGAATTTAAAAAATCCACTGAGTTTATTTCATCCTCTGAATTTATGTACTTGAATTTATTAGATTTGTTTGACCATGGTTGTAACTTGTAACCTCCTTTGTTACTAAGGCAAATCATTCGTCATGTTCTTTTCAAATAAATCAAACGACAAATCTCAACTCTAACAAGCCATAAATTTAACAGTTATTAGTTTTTACTTGGGAACTTTTGTACCTGTATTAAAAAACTTAGCGATTCATGTATACATGCCAAGTTTTTTACTTATCCGATATACATTTGAGACATTCATGTATCACTGTGGCATTCAAGTTACTTTTTTTTTCCTGTTGTGTTTTCTAGGTATAGCGTCTAATATTGACAACTCTAGTGTGTATGTAATAAGCATTCTACACGAAGTGCACCCACATACATGTTAAACTATCATTAGTACTCAGCAAGCAACGAAGCAACTAAAACAAGGCTTGTTCATTTACCTGCCTCACAGTAGTTCTTTAGCAACTGCTCATGCATCTTTTTTTTCCTCTCAAATTGTTTTTCCAGCTTTACTAAATCCTCCTCATCCTCACTTTCGGAATCTGAATCCGAGGACCATTCGAATTTTTTACGAATTTTTTTAGTCGTATCCTTTTCCTTTAAATACTTCTTTTCAAGCTTCTCTATCAATGGCGTTACACCCATATAATCTTCTTTATCCTCTTCATCAATATCCTTTGTGTCCAAACCTTTTCTCTTCCTATCCTCTCTTTCTTGCTTCTTCTCGCGTTCCATTTCAGCATATACATCAGCCAAAATATCATCCTCCCCGGGCTCGTCGAACCTGAAGTCTCTAGAGAAATGCCATCTCGTAAAAGAAAGTGGAGATTTTGGAGTTCGGTTGTTGTGGAAATAGGAAAAAGTCGAGTTTTTTCGACAAAACGAGAAATGGGGTTTAATGGGGGTTTTAGGAATATGAGTTGAGTAATGGGTGTTTGGCAAAATATTCGTACAGATTTTCCGAGAAAATGAAGGCTGGGCTCTAGGTGGATTTTGAAAGGAGCGGCTAAGGAGCCTAAGCCATGAAGAAGGCTGTGATTTAGTTGACATTTCTCTTCTCTATTAGCTTAAAAAATGAGAAACATAGGTAGAGTCAGTGTGAGCTAAAATTTTGACAACAGATAGCTTTCAAGAGAAATCGATCAAGAAGCAGTAGGATCAAGCAGAAAGGAAACCGAACCACAACTCAAGATCTAACGACTCCATCAACTAAAGATTAGGGTTCCGAAAATTACCTCAAATTAATTTACTCGTGATAAATAGGAAGTATACCAGAGTGGTGGTGGCAAGGCCTCTGTTTCGGCGCGGTATCTATCAGAATAGCTTCGGAACTTCTAAAGGAAAATTTAGGGGAAAAATATATTTTATTATATTATTTTATTTGGAATATATTTCGGGGTAAATTACCTTTATAGCCACTAAATTTGGTATATATTGGAACATATTTTTGAATAAACTACCTCTATAGTCACTATACTTGATACATAATTTTATTTTAAATATACTTTTAAGTTAACTACCTTTATAGTCACTAAATTTGATGCATAAATTTTATTTCGATATCATAGCTGTTAATCATTAATAGAATTTATAACGTAACAGTTAAATAATTTATATAATAATATATTTAATCATCATTATTTATGTATTCTACTAATTTAATTGTACAATAAAATAGAATGAAAAATTAGTCCTAGGTCTAACTCTCCAATGGGATCAAGATAAGTCAAACCCAGGACATTGGTGGTGGTGTAGACACAACACTTAACCAAATTAAATATATTATTTTTTGGTCTAAAAGAAGTATGTTTATTTCGTGCATGTCACGAAGAATTCTATTATGATCGAAGGATCTAAAATTCAAATAATGTTTACATACTTTCACATTTGTTTAATTCAAACATCACAATCCATGTCCTATATACGCGAATCATGTATCTAAATATATACACTCTCAATAATTAAATATTATATAATAATTACGGATCATGTATGTATGTTAATCATATTCATATACCGGCCAGACATGAAGATGGCGTTAGTACTTGCAGGCAGCTTCATTGGATATCTCAGTAACCCTGTTAGATTGGAAGAATGGGAATAGAACGAAATTTGATTGGAAGGCAAGCAAAAACCACCACTATAAATTATATTTTGTGCAAAAGCACAATTAATGAGCATGGTCTGGTTGAGCATTTGCTTATACTGAGCACACTAATCAAGTGAACTATTGGAGTACATATTTCTTGCCAAACACCCAATACATAATCCCACGATGTAAAAACTTGAGTTCGGTTCCAACATTAGGCAATCCTTCCGTAGTCCTTTCTTCCCCGAGAACCTGGTGGAATATTTGAGAAGGGATGGCTGGCCCTATGCCCTGCATTAACAATGCCAGGATTGAGTAAAACAGAAACACTTCATTTTGTCCCCCTAGTTATCCAACAATAATCATATAGTTCCGACACGGGTAGGTCTATGAAATTGTTCAGCGAAGTGCGAGGTAACTTAAAGTAATTTGATGGTGTAAAGTTACGAAGTACCCCATGGCATGCCATTACTGAATGTACTACTTGCAGGAGAACGTTGGCCCCCAGAATTAAAGCTAGGAGGGAGCTGGACTTTCATGCGATTCCATTCGCTACCCCAAGCACCAGTGGATCTGCTGTGATTGAACCGCTGAACAGTTTGCTGCCCCAAACGACTAAGAGAATTTTGTGTTGTATGTGGAATGAAGTGAGAATGCTTGGACAAATAACGAGGATATCCAGCATGTAAATCATTAACTGAAGGAGGGCTACCCACATCTTCATGTGAAAATCCTACAGGTCCATTTTGTCTGTGTACTCAATCAATACAGAAATAACAAATAAGTCAAGAACAGTGTTGAACACTTCAACGAAAGACAATAGCTCTCGTCTTGTAAGTCAAGAGATATCTGAAATTATAGTGCATATCCATCTCTATAATGCACAACTCATCTTGGGCAGCGTCAATCATGTGGACCATCAATGCTAACTATAAACTTCACTAGGGAAAATAAAAGGCATGCATATAAGCAAAAGAACAGTCATGTTGAAAAGCAAATGAAAAATAAGAAGGGTATGCAATTACCTTTGAATTAATAAATTTGAGGTTGTGGTTGAGGGACGGTTGAATCTTCCAACTCCAACAGATGAATCGGCTGAACCAATATGCATTCCTCTGTTAAAGTCAGCTGATAAGCAGCTCTCTTCTGATCCATCCTCTTGTAGAAGTAGTTCATCACTAGGGTGAAAACAAACACAAGAAATATTGTAAGTTACAAGATCATAGAATAAATATCAAAGCAAAAAGTCAATGGAGAAACAAACACGCATTCCATTTTAGAAGCACCTAAACAACATAGTTTATTTCGAAGAACTTGTCATAGGTATATGCACTTTCTACTGAGACAACTCTTTTTTGGAACTAGCAAGATGCCAAATGTTGCAACTAGAGCTGATTTTAGGAGTATCATGAATTCCTGATACAGCGCACAATAATTGTGGGACAACTGATAGAAGCATAACAGATAAAAGAACCCATGGATATGTTCTAGGCTAACCAAGCAATCCGATTTTGAGCCAATAGCCCATTATTTGTGAAAGTCCTTGATGAGTTTAGTTTGAACATAAAACAAAGAAGCTTCCAAAATTATGACATCCTATGATAAGCTGTGAAACTATTTGGAAGAACCGCTTATGCAGGTACGACCAACATCTACTCATCTCGCTGAAAGGAAGTGTTCAAAAAGTAATTTATTACCATCTAAAAGATCGTACTTCAACACATAATAAATGTCGAGGATCATACTGTGCATCAAGAATCAAGATGCTACCATTTTCTCTATCCCTTATTTTAGAATTTTATAACAGCAAGCAATCTATACAGAATATACTAATATAATTAGCACAATAAAATAAGGCAAAATATTGGTATGCTACATAAAACACGAAGGATAAAAAGAAAGGCTACTATGATACATGAAAAATATTAGTAAACTAAAGAATATCTCCATCCTTCAGGCAGTGTGCAGCAGAGACCTGAGAAGGCAGCTGCAAGCTGCAGGGCCCACATGCTGGGCAACCAAGTAACCTTTGAGAGGGTAAAGAAGAGTAAAGACCATATTAACATGGTTGGCTGCATGTCCAACTGAAATTTTTTTATATATTAACAGAAATGAATAACACAGCTAAGACAAAGTATCTCAATATTTGATAAACATGAGTTTAGACTCCATTTTCAAGTTCTCTACTTACCTATAATTTGGATCCCAATCTCCAGGATCAAGCAATGGCATGCTAGCCTCTGACATGTCTTGAGTTGCTCCTGTGCTACGCTGCAGTTGCACTTTAGAACCAAATCCTATGGAGTTGGGCATATTCTGAACAGTTGGGTAGCCTGTAGCCTTTCCAATGCCACCTAGCTGTTGGTTCCAATTAGATGTGTTAGAATTTGACTGAATGTGAGAGGGGAGACCACTGACCACCTGAGACTGCCCCTCAGCTTGGCTAGAAATGGTGCCATCAGTTACTTGTCCTTGGCAGTTTGAAGATGATGAACTCTCTTGCGATTGGGAACCTCCAGAATATCCCCAACTTTTTCTTCGACTAAACTGGCCGGCTGTAGCCATCTTACTTAAAGGTGATCCCTGACAACTGTTTCTTGCAGGAGAAGTAGGACCATAACGCCCAGGAGAGCCACTGGAAACTTGACTGCAGGAGCTTGGAGGAGTAAATTGCAAGGGACTCGTGCCAAGAGGAAGTGGTGCAAAGTTTCCAGATGATGGACTCACACCAAGTCCTGTCCCCTGAGAGTACTGCATATATCTCCATCTAGCATCAGGACTATTTCCAAGCATTGATGCAGCGCTCTGTGGATGCATGTTCATTGCAGATGGACCAACAGGTGAATAATATGCAAACATATTATTACTATCTCCGTAACTCCCGTAGCTGCTTCCAAGCCCTGTATTATCACCATAGCTGCCATAGCTATTTGCATGAGCATACGTAATCATTTGGAAATGTGGGCTGTTATGAAAGGGAACCATGTTCCTGTTTTGAATCTATACGGTTGAAAATATACACCATCATAAGACTACTATTAAAATAATGCAGAAAGTCGACTACTCTATAAAAAAAAATGCTGCATCCTTGGGAAACTCACATTAGGGGAAAGACCAGCTGAAAACCAATGCCCTCCACCAGGGTGATGATCCACCTTGATGTTTTGAGCAACAGGCTACCAAGAAAAAGGCAGACATTAGGCAAGTATTGCTTCCTCTTCTCGTTTTTCCCCCAGAAAATAACAGATTAGTGTATCTTTTTGAAAAGCTTGTTATTCACAAGAACAGATTACTACGATTATAAAACTGCTTAACCATGAGAAGACCAATAAAGCTCAACCTTTCACACTGGCCAAAGAATTTTTTATGCTCGCGTACACACAAAGGACATTGAAATTTTATCAAATGAATGCTAAGATTTATTCAAACAAGTACAAAATTCTATGTCAAATTGTTTTCAACAACCTTAACTTTTTATAAATAAGAAAAAAGTTCCTCGAATATAAAATAAGATTATACTATTGTCCAGAAAAATACATACGGTAACCAAGAGAGGGATATGCAATTCCTCTGTATGCTTGGTATCAAGAATTGAAATAAAAGCTACATAGTTAATTTAATTATGAAATAAGGTTCAGTATTTTAATTGCAGAGTTACACACATAGGTCCCATACCAAGCAAAGGGTCTCAGGGGGAGGTCTGTATGGGCATGTGAAAGGCTCCCCAGTAACAAAAGGGTGTTTTGAAGCCTGCAAGATGAACTTGAAATTCTTACTATTGCTTCATATTTAATTGGAATTGCATCATAAAGGAGTGTTAAAGTGAAACTTCAATTACCTGGAAAGGTGACCACCGTTTTGCTGGATCAAACTCAACTAGTCCCCTCAGGAAATCAATCAAAGCTAATCGTATTTGACCCTCTGTTAAAGATGCATTATGCAACAGCCTTGTTAAGTTCTTAACAGATAGAAGTCACAGAATGCACATGTTTTCCCACCATGGCAAGCCGGACATTCAATGTAGAAGTCAGATGCTAACCTTTAATGATATCTTCTTCAGGCAAGTTTTTCCGGTAAGGATAATTTGTAACTATTGCTTCAAGGTTCTTATGACCAAAATATTCTTTCCCCACCGAAGGTTTTTTTAACTCCCTCTGAACAGAAACAAGAAAAAATAATTATCAGGTGAAGATAATTGACAATAGATATAAGAACATAAAAATTAACAAAAAGAAATTTCTATTCTTTCACTACTTTTCATATAGTTGTCTTCAGAATGGAATATATGAACTCTTACAGCTTCATATTCTTCTTCGGTTAATGCTTGGTAAGCACTTCTGCCACCAACTTCACCGTTCTCTATATTGTGTATGCTCCCAACGCACTTAAAAAACTTACTTGTGTTCTTTGCCTCCTTTAGAACATAATCAGGGGGTTGCGATCTACAACAAGAAAACCATACACATGAAAGGTTGTTCACAACAAGTGCGAAACTACAACCGAATGAGTATAAGTGCTAAAAGTTCTTATTTTCGTTAATTGATATCCAATAAAAACCAAGTTTATTTGGGATAAGGATAAATAAGTTTGAAATAAGGGTTTATATGAAAACATTAAGAAAAAATGATATGTGGCATATACTTATATTTAATGCATGAAATTAGCTGACTGACTAAGAAACAGCAACTGATCAAACATAACACAATGAAAATCAAGAAGGTTCTAAACTTCCATGACCCACGCTAGATGGCTCAAATCATTGCAAAACTTATAGTGTAACTTTAGTACACAGTATACCAGGTTACTTCTATTTATGCATGTGTGTATACCTACCCGGTTTCGATTTTCATATATACAAAAAGCATTATAGTCCAATAAATAAGCTGAAATTCCAATGTGAACCAAAGGATCTAATTTGGTGTTCAGTGTTCACAGATGGTCAATCTTGGGTCAAGGAAAGGGACTCACGAAGAAGACAATCCAAAAGCTCAAAGGAATTCTAGAACATCCTTCAGGGGTTCTCATAACAAGGCACTAAATTCAATTATTCATATTAACCAGAATTAAATATCCTATAGCATAACGTTAACGCATACCATGTAAGGCAAATATATCTCCCTGATAACTATTCATGCCTATCAATCTAATTTAGGAGAGGAATGATCTTAGAGGATCTGAATTGTCATTTTGATACCTTTAGATGGAATAACAGAAACCAAAGAGAGGGATAGAGGAGCTTAAGCTCTCAATTTGTGATGTTCAAAAATTATATGCTACTTTGAAAAATCAAATAAACTTTTTGTTTCTCTTTTCTTCTACATTCTATTTTATCATAAGGGCCATTTAACTATGGAAATCTATAAACTCATGAATGTATTAGACATATATTGCATTGAATTATGAAACTTCTAAGATTAACAGAAATGCTAAGGGACAGAGGTAATGAAATTTGGTAATCACATGCTTATTGATGATAAGTGACTACTTATACAACTTCTTCACATTTGGACAAAAATCCACTTATTCAGTTATCTCTTGTAAGAAATCAACCAAAGAAAAGCTATTCCAAAAACAGTCTCAAGAAAATGTTATTCCTAGCCAAAGCAAGAGCCATACCCAAGTATTTTAATCATTCGCCTTAGAAGATCAAATTCTGAAGCACCTGGGAATAAAGGCAGCCCTAAAAACAGTTCAGCGACTATGCAGCCAAAGGACCACATGTCAATGGCTGTTGTATATCTGAAAAATGATCAAGGTTCAAGCTAAAACGAACAACATGACCATATACAAAAAAATCAGAATTAAGTTCTCTGATCATAAAAGATAATAATGAAGCACAACCAGTGAACATAATTTTGAAAACCCACTTTTTTAATTATTACCAAGGAACAGAACATGCCAAACATACAAATCTATATGAAAGACCATTACCTCAAAAGAGATAATATAGAAATACGATGATCTTAGTTATATTGCAGATAAACAAATAATTTAGCATACCAATTTAGCTAGAATTTCAAATGTTTTACTATATTAATTGTTATTATACAGGCAGTAGAGTTAAATACCTATGCTCTGATATATAACAATGATATCAGACCTATCCTTATCTCTTTCCTTTCCTGTTCATCTATGGTTGCTCTTAATAAATAAAATATCTGAACGAGTAAAATAAGGAAGAAAGCATATAAAGACAAAAGCAATGTTTGAACAATCTAGCCAAGGTGAAACAAAACATTAAATGCTTAACTCAAGCATCAAACGAGTCAAATCTAATGGAGTACAAAGAGTTCAATAGGGTTTCTGAAAGCGGTAAAAGAAAACTTTAATGTTATAACATATCAAACAGCAAATTATACATACTTTGAATTATGTTAGAAGACAAATAAAAAGGAATCAAAGAAGGTCGGAAATAATAAAATATTATTCAAAATGGAGTATAAAACACAATAAATTAAAGTGATAGTTGTGAGATCAACCAGGAACCATCGTGACAAATCCACACCATATAAAGGTCAGGTTTCATGATTATGTACTTCAAGTGATGGCTCATAGGTTGGGTTCAGTATTTATACATGATAACTGAACTCATGAGGTTCATTTTAGTCTTGAGGATTGGTTAGATCAAATGAAATTCTGCTGAAGTTTATTCATCAAAATTCCATTTAGCAAGACACTGCACACGAGAATAGATGCTACAAGGAAGTAAAAACACCATGATCCAGCGAAAGACAAAAGCAGTAAGCAAAATCAATAGATAGAAAATATAAGGCCATAAATTCATGCCAAAAGGATACTGGTATCCAAGAAGAACTTCAGGAGATCTATAATATCGGCTCTGCAGAAAAGAAAAGAAAAAGTACAGCTGTAAGACCCTCCTGAAAATGTTAAGAATGAACAGAATGAAAGTAGTAGCTACAAGTGGAAACCTGAATGTAGGAATAAACAGTCCGTTCTTCCATGCAAGCTGATCCAAAGTCAATTATTTTAATTTCAGCTGGCTTGACACTGTTATTTCCAGGGCAGAAATATCAAACTTCATTGAAAAATAAAATATATTACAAGTTCCTAATCTGGAATAATCTTGAAAAAGCAACTCACCTCGTGCATAAAAGGATATTTTCTGGCTTAAGATCACAATGAATTATTCCAGCATCTTTTAATAAAGCCAATCCACGTAGAATCTAAATAAAATCAGAAGGTTAGGATGAGCTCAAAGAACAACTGGAAGTAAATGTTTACAGCTAGACCAATCGTTATTCAAATCAAACCAAATTCAGCTACAAGCAAACCGCAAACACCTGTTTTGAAAACAGCTGAACAATGCTCAATGACAAACCCCTGAAATGATTTATCTTGATGAGTTCATACCTAGATCAGGGGGGAAATGTCAATAACATGCAGCAAAGCATATAAGAAAAGTATATCTAATGATTAAAAGAAATTCACAAATGATGAATCTTCCTCCATTGAAATACAGAAAAATTAAATTACTCACAGATTTGTATCAAGAAGTTCAAAACAAATGCACAAATGACGTTGATATACAAAGTAATCGTAAATACGGACAATGTGATGCTTGTCTTCTGGATCATACTTTTTGTTTAGCTGCAAAAAGTAAACAACTAAGCAAACAAAAAGGTGTTTCATAACTGGTATTCTTAAAGAAGGATATATACAGCTGTAAGAAAATCACCGTTTTCAAAATAGAAACTTCAACCAGTGCTTGCTGATGGTAAGCAGGTTGGTTTTTAATTATCTTCACAGCAACAAAACTGCTTGTTTCAGGAACCCAGCATTTAGCAACCTGCCCGAAAGTCCCATGACCAAGAACATCTTTGACAATATATCTACATAAAATCATTAAAAACATGTGTAGAAGCTTCCTTCAACAAGCTTAGTTTAAGTGAGAGTAGACAACTAGAAATAGTATTTAAGCTACATTGACATATCCATGATGCTGCCAAAAGCCAAATTCCTCATGAATAATATCTGGTATTTTTTTATAGCTTTTCCCTTTTTTTAAATTTTATTTGAATGGTTGGATTGTCCTTTGTTGCTCACAATTGATAATTTGAATTGCATTAACTAACAAGTTTGGTGCATCATAAAGGAGAAAAATAAAATTGATACACAGGCAACATATGTGATATCGTATTGAACCATGCAAGTCAAGAGCAAGCATGCTTGCTCATGATATGTAATTTAACATGTAATATTTTCATACTCAGGAAAGCCAAAAAAATCCAATTCAAAACATAAAACTTGAAAACAATTTTGTTAACCATGCTAACTAAAGCACTGCTGTCGGCATCATAACCAACCCAAACAAGAAAATAATAATAATAATTCACTTGTATGTGTATAGGCCAAAATAGGTCATCCAGATTAGTTAAAGTTTTCTCCTTGCATTTTGACAAACTATAACAATACCCAGCACATCAAACAATCAGACTCAAAACTGAAGTTGAAATTGGTTTATTACATGTTTAATATAGTAACTATATAATATTATGATTTTTCCCACAAGTAAATAACTTGCCTGGCTAACCCATGCTTGAGCTGAGATAAATAAGGCTTCAGCTGGCATTTACCCGCCATTTATAGAGCCAATGCAGTCTCATTCCTACCCAGCCCCAGCCCAACCCCAACCTTGATGCCAATCCCTTTCTAAAACATTCTACTTCAGTACCCAAAACAGTGGATATATGAACAAGCATTTTGCTGGGGTTGCAAAGAAACAGAAACAAAAGAAGTATTCTTTGGTGCCAGGCTTAAGTAGAAAGAGACAAGCTCAACAGATAGATTAAATTTTTAAAACAGAAAATCTCAAGGAGGAGAAAGGCTAAGGGAGGAATGGCAGTGTGAATTTGTAAAAAAAAAAAAAAAAATTGTTGCCCAAGCTTGGCAAGCCCAAAACTCCATATTTAGACTGATGTACAACTAATTCCAACATGCCAAATTCAAAGTTCACAAGCCAGAAACTGAACAGGTGTATTTCATGGCTTAGAGGAGCTAGCCACGTGAATAGAAACAAATATACATTTGAAACATTTCTGTATGCCTGACACGTCAAATTCAAAAAGTTGGTCCATTTTAGTTTGAGATCCAGTAATTACCATCAGCAGGACAATGGAAGTTTTAACAAAAGAAATAGAACAACCATCTTTACTCACCAAGAAGAAAATCTTGAATGCACATGTGATCACAAAGAAATTACAAGAAATGCTTCAAAAATATAGTTCATATTATCCAGAAAAATCATAAAAGTAGTAACAAACCTTCGCTGTGTTTCTAAATTGATCAAGAAAAAGTTCACTGTTAGAATAAGATCTGAGTTCACATTGTCATAGCCATCGTTGAGGACACCAACAGATGGGCTAGTCAAAAACCGCTTTGGATTCAGTTCTTCTGAATATTTAAATTGTGAGTTGCATATTTGATACGTTTCAATTATGTCCTTTGTCAGTCTTGCCACCAACTGCACAGTTAAAGCTGCATGTCAGCACACAGATTTGCCTTATATGAGCCCATGCACCCTGAAACAGTTCTCCTATGCCTTTTCTTTTACTTCTTCTTGGGTGTAAAACATATATAATATCATATTGATAAATAACCCAAGCAAGATCTATTTCATATTTCATATCAAGAAATATGCCAATATATTTTTAGAGTACAAAATTCAGTTCTAATTATTTAGTATTTAATCTTATTGTTTCTAAAACATATTCAGACACTAAAACATAAATGTTGACAATAAAGCAAGAATGGAGAACATTATGCACAAGGCAAAAATAGAGGAATTGTACAATAGATCATTAATTGACTAGGAGAATATCTATATTGCTAAGGGCAGTGTCAAGACAGAAATTAACAACCCAACAAGTAAGTATCCATGCCCCACTAAGACTCGTATTGTTCATGGAGTCTATGCTCCCTGGTTTACTTTCTCATCAACGTCACAGATCGGTTATATTTCTGAGTTGTATTAGCTGAAAACTTATCAAGGTAGATAGAATGTGGGATCTAAAAACAATTCGGTAATCTGATTATGCAAATATCAGTACCGATATGACCACCTACTATCAGGATCCAATTTGACCACCAACTCTGCTTAAGCATACAGGCATGACACATTATACTAACCAACATAAGAGTAGCATTCCCCAGTCATGTCCAAAGCTGTTTATAATGTATTTCAAACTAGTGAAATATTTAAGATTTTAACCCCTGCACATGGAGAAAATAAGGGACTGTCTCATTTGACCTCTACATTGCTTATACGTTTACATATGTTTTCCTTTTTTTTTCCTTATGCTAAACAGAATCACTAATGAAAACACAAATAAAACCAGCTGAATATCACTTAATCCATAACAATTCAAACTCAAACCCAATTCAAAAGCCCCTAAGTTTTCAACACATCGCATCATGCCAAAGAAATACCTTTCGAACTAAAAATTAACAGACAATCAGGAATGCAAACTTACAGGCCTCCTGACAAAAACACGCAGCTTTCTATCAGCTTCTTTTCTAGTTGTATAAGGCCTAAAAACCAGCTGCCTCGGCCTCCACCGCGTCGCAGAGCCTTCATCGGATCCCAATTCCGAGGTCATCCGCGGCTCTCCTTGATTACTAGGACCAACTTCGTCCATGACTATCCACCAGAAAGAATCAACGTTTTCTAACCCCAAATTTTACTATTACCCCCAATAGCTCCATTAAAAAAGAAACCAGGCAAAAACACCGTAAAGTCAAGAAAACCCCCAAATTTTTTTCAAAAATCGAATTGCAGTTTCCAATCCAAGGTTGAAGCTTTAGTTATTTTGCAAATAACCCACCAGCTAACTCAAATCCCAATCTTCGTTTTTTTAAAATACTTTCTTATTATTCTATTATTCAAAGTCTAAAAACAGAAGAATCAGAAAACTGGAAACCCAGGCGGATCCAGAGATGATATAAGAACAACCCAAATTTATATTAAAATAAAAAACGATTGAAGTTTTCCACAGATTATAAATAAAACCCAACACATGCAATAAAAGAAAACAAAACACTTAGATTAGAAAGAAGTATTGCGATAAAAGAAAGATCAAAACATGAAGAAATAGATAGAAACAGAGTTTTTGGTCCGAGGACAGAGGCACCCCGCTTCTTGCTACCGCCCGATGGGAGTTTTTTCTCTTTTTAGATATTTTTTTAGGTGACCGGCGTTGAAACACTATACAGTAGCTTCTCCTTTATTTATTTATTTATTTATTTTGTGAATGTGCTGTTGATAGATGTTTTCTTGGGACTTTTTATGTCTTTTATTTGGCAGTAAATACAATGTATTTGGTATCCATTTATGTACCTGATTCGTTACGTTGAAGAATATATTGTTGGTTACAAGGGCCGGTTACGAGCTCTCTACCTATGTAAACACTATCAAACATATCCACCTGGATTTTAATTCAACTTTAATAAATTAATTTATAATCTGATTTTGATTAAATTAATTATTAAGACAATAAATATTTAAAATTAATTAAAATATGGTTACTTTGTTGAAATATAATAATTTCATCGGAAAAATAGTATATAATTTATTTATTATTAATTTTAAAATAAAATAATTCATATTTAAAACTAATATCTGATTTAAATGATAAAATTGAAAATTGTTTCTTTAGAGGTCTCATATTCGAGTAGCTGTATTTGTAGTGTATGTATCGTTGTCAATAACTAAAAATAATTATGAACAAATGCTACCTTATATTCATCACATACTATTTAAAAAAATTATTACACTTATTTAAAATATAATTCAAATATGAAAAATAAAGAATATTGATGAAATTATCCTTTTTGACTAATTATCATATTGTACATTAAATTGAAGTTTACGTATAATTTTAATATTTACCCTTCTAAATATAATCTACTTAACACGTGTTTAATTTATTACTTTAGCAATATTAATATAACTTTTCTTGAAAAGTGAAAATCGAACTTCGTTAGTGCAAAAGCTAAGTTGCACTAAATGTTACATGTATGCATTCAACTGAATAACAACTGTTAGCACTGTCATTAATAGATTTGACTTTTCATTATTAGTATTATTATTTATTTTATGTTTTAATGGTAATAAATATGATAATTGAATTGTAATGTGAAATCATATTAAAAGGATTTTGTTATATGTGAGAATAGATCTTAATCGTTTATGAGTAAAGATATAATTGACTTATAAATGACATTGCATAATTAATTGATTATCTTGTTGTCGTATTTTTCCTAAAAATATAAAAGATTATCTTACTTAGATTAGGCAACGAATTAAAGTCTATAGACATTCTTTTTATAACAAAGGATCATGACAATTATATCAGACGGTAATACTGTTTTTCATACTTCTTAAGTTAAGTATCTTATTTTACCTGGTGCGAATATAATATTTTTTAATTAATTTGGGAAAGATATTATAGGTTTAATGACACTCAACTATTTGAGACAATAACAATCCTTTAACTATTGAAATTGTTTGATTTGTACAATATTTTTTTTTATTAAAACATATTATATGTAGGCAAAATTATTCGAATTCGGATCACTTATAGAGAATAACATTATCTTTTTAAAGTTTGAATCAAGCTAAAAGAACAAATTTCATTTATAAAATAATAATTTTATTCTAATCGAGTTAAAAATAATCTTTTTAAAGTTTGAGTCAAGTTAAATTAATAACTCGATCTATCAATAACCTATAGAGCTAGTGGTTAAAAGCTTTTGGTTGATACCCCCTCTCTCTTCTAGGATGTGGCTTCATTACCCATTTAGGAGGAAAATTCCCCTTCACCCTTAAGTAGAAATTGTTAAAAAAATAATAATAACCTAATCTTTAAATAAATCTTTGATTAAATAATATAAGTGAAATTAGGACTACATCAGACAAATATAAATTGAGAAGCAATTAAAATAAATTAAACTCTTTTTTTTTAATTCATAAAAAATTATTTGTTCACTATAAATTTTAAGAATTATTATCTGACATATAAGTTGTGCAAACTTTCATCTACATTACGTCACATATATATCGATTTTTTTTCTTCCAAATTTTCACAACTCAATATACTTCAATAACAATAAAAAAAAATTATATGATACTGATCCACAAAATTTGAGAAACTTGATTTACTTTTAAAATATAAGTTTACATTAAATTTAAATAAAAATGTATTTTCTTATAATCAAACAACATTTACTCTAATTGAAAAAAATGTTATATCAGCAGCCCGATCAAAGATATTGAATGTGTAAGCGTCAAGGCATTGATATTCATGATCCATTAAGAGCTTTTATGGGCCGAGTTTAGGTGATAAGTGGATGGGCGTTTTTTCTTGGTAGAGCGGAATGGAGCGCAGCAGCAAATCTGTATATATAAAGGCCAACTTGATAAATAGCCCATAGCTTGGGACTGGACCAACCCAAGCCCAACTACAAAATATTCCCAGAGAAAGCTTAATGTATTTTAGCAACCAAGAGCCCTGCCTACTTTGAGCATGTATGAATCATGTCATGGTTGATGATAAATGATAGCGTGCGGCAGTCTTAATATATGACTAAAAAAATGTGTTATTTATTTTTTTATTATTTAAATAATAAAATCGGTAAAAAATTACCGGAAACATTATCATTTTTACCAATTTTATTATTATTGTGCATTTTATCAGTTTTGTTAATAAAACCGGTAAAGCGCTACCGGTTTTATTATTATTGAACACTTTACCGGAAATGTTAAAAAACATTAATATTTTAAATAGAAATAATAATATTTTAAGTAATTTTTTACCTATTTTATTAATTAAATAATAACAAAATCGATAACTTTTATTTAGTTGAATATTAAAAATGTCACACGTAAAACTTTCGCATGATTTATATATAAAATTTCATTAATCTATAAAAATAGAACAGACAAATGCATGAGAAAAGATTCCTTGACTAGTGGTGGGTCATAGTGTTTGGTGGATAACCATCTATCCTATTATTATTATATAATTTATGAACAGTGGAACTAATCCATATTCTATTGGGATTGTGAACATTATTGGGGGTATTGTAGCCTAGATAATATCGTTAACTGCATTGTTGATACTAATTTTGTTTCTTGTTTTTTGGATTCCCCCACAAAGAATCATATTCTTTTGGTAATAATAAAAAGAATTATTCAAAGCAATGCCCTTTCTGAATTTCAAAATTTTTTTTTTATGTATTCTTCTTCCATCTGTCTTGATCTTCCCTGACATTTTGCTTGCCCTGTATCGAAATGATGATAAAAGAAATTCAAGTATATTCTAAACACGTTAAACGTATTCAATTTGGTATATATAAAAGATATAATAAAAAAATTTAACGTTCGATTAAATATCATTTTGATTCTATTATATTTTCAGAGCATTTTAATTTCATAATGTTTAATTTTATAATAAAAAGGAAGTCAAAAGAATAATCTAATATGATTACAATGTAGTATCTATAAAAAAGTTTTTTGATATATTGACAACACATATTCTACAAATATAATTGTACGAATTTAAAACTTCTAAAAAAAGTAATATTTTTATCATTAAAATTACTTATAAATTTACCAAAATAACTATTTGTTCAAATACTATAAATATTTTATGGGCGTTATGCCTATATAAGTAGTATCTTTCGAACTTCCTCGGGGGGAGATAGAATACAAAAACTAGTTTGGTGGCAAATGACAAAATCATTTTTGGCCTTATTATTCAACGTCAAGTGGCTGCCCGGAAATTCAGACCACACTTTCTCATCTTTTTCCATACCACATCGTTTCCCCATTACCACGACCACGATGCAACTCCTTAACAACCCCCATTTTCTCCAAATCCAATTAAGAAATAACTATACATTCCCTCCTATAAGGACCACTCTCACCACCACTCAACCAAACCAACACTCCCTTTTTTACCTTGCCTTACCAACCAAAAAACAGTCCTACTTCTCTCGGTATCATGGCAGCTTCTTCTACTTCCCTAGTGTTCAAGGTTCATCGACGTGAACCGGAACTGATAGCTCCGGCTAAACCTACCCCTCACGAGTACAAACTGTTATCTGATATCGATGATCAAGAAGGTCTTCGGTTTCAAATTCCGGTTATCCAATTTTATCGATACGACCATTCCATGCAAAGAAAAGACCCTGTTAAAGTGATTAGGGAAGCACTTGCACAGACCCTCGTGTTTTATTACCCATTTGCTGGTAGGTTGAGAGAAGGACCTCAGCGAAAGCTGATGGTTGATTGCAACGGTGAAGGCCTTATGTTTATCGAAGCAGATGCGGATGTTACGCTCGAGCAATTCGGTGATGCACTTCAACCACCATTCCCTTGTTTGGAGGAGCTCCTTTACGATGTTCCGGGCTCTACTGGTGTACTGAATTGTCCATTAATACTTATTCAGGTACGTTTTTACGTTTTTTTATCTATCCATGATTTATAAGATTATGGATTTATTATGATAATGTTTTTATTATATTATCTCATTATTTTAAAGAATCTTATATAAATCAATGTTAGAATATATTTTAAATTTAAATATCTAATACGAGTATAACTAAAAAAGAAAAAAAAATACAGTAACATATGTTCTTAGTGCTTATATTTGTAGAATACATCTCAATATTTTGATTTCTGGTAATTATAAAATATAAGTAGATACATCTGCTTATGAGTATAAAGGTACGTATTTTCATAAATAACATACTTTATACGTTATTATATTAATAAAACAATAAAAATTATTTTATATTAATATTCAAACTTACATAATTAAATTTAAATTAAAAAGTACGCTTAACCTTAGGATAAACTAATATCTAAATGGCTATTATTGAGCTGCCCACTAATATTGTAAATAATGATTTGATTGACCGAAATTCTAATTTGGATTGTAGCTATCATTGTGCCATGAAAATGACTTCCACCAACAGTCCAAATGAACCGCATATTCATAGCTCTACGATTTGTTTTCTTCTTTAAAACTTGTTTGCCCAACTTAAATAAGGTTAATAATGAGATTCAAACCTTTATTTTAACCAAAATATTAATAAATACTTTTAAGTTTATTTTGATGTCCTTCAGTTTTATTTTACAGTCTATATTTAAAATTTATTATTGTCTTTTTCAATAAATCGTTTCTAAAATTTAAATATATATATATTTTAAAAAATATAATATATTCTATCATTATATCTAACACTTATTGATATAAGTCAATAATTTTTAATCATAAAGGACAATGTTAAAGTTCATTAACATAGCTTAATGAACAGGAAACGAAAAAAGAGAGAAAAGGCTCTCTAAACCTTGATTAAGAAGAAAAACAAGAAGATATGTTTCTTGTTACAATACAACTTACTTATAGCTTTATGAGCTAACAACTGAACTGAAAAACAGAAGCATAACAGTTTAAACAGAAGCATAACAACTTGAAACAGAAAACTCAACTACCTATCACTAACAACTTGTAAGCTCATAGGAACCTATTACATTAACTCATCTTCTGCACTTCTATAACGCCAATCATTCCCAATGCTTTCTAACCTCCTAAGCAGCAGAGTGAGGATCAATGATCAATACTCCTTATGCTTGCCAATATTTGAGACAACAACTGCAATTTAGCATTTCTCATGCTCTTCCAATCTTTTAGGCACTCGAGTGACCAAGAGTTTTTGTCGATGCTTTACAAACATAGGTGCTGAGAGAGGCTTTGTCAGAACATCAACAATTTGTTCATAAGCCGAAACCTCATGCTTGAAAGTGTATGTTACATGGTGCCTGCATGAATTGACATACCCGGTTTACTGAGTAAGCGATATCAGGACGAGTTACTACAACATATTGAAGGGCACCTACTATGCTTCGGTAATCAGTGCCATTCGTAATGAGTTCATCACAATTTGCTGAAAGCTTGTTTGTAGAAACCATAGGAGTAGGAAGTTCTTTAGCATCACTAAGCCATACCATTTTAACAACTCATAGATGTATTTCTTCTGGCTTAAAACTAATCTATCGTTATCATAGCATACTTCAATCCCCAAAAAATAATTAAGAGAGCCAAGGTCTTTCAAGGAAAACTGCTTGTTCAAGTCACTAATCACCTCTTGAACTTCATCTGCACTGCTCCCAGTTAGAATTATGTCATCGATATAAACTAACACATGCACTATACTAGAAGCTGATTTTCGAACAAACAATGAGGAGTCTGATCGTGCCAAAGCAAATCCCACCGAAATCAAGTACATTCGAAGACTATCAAACCAGGCACGAGGAGCTTGTTTCAGGCCATAGATAGCTTTGTTGAGTTTGCACACCAACCCTTCATTTCCTTGCTCGTATCCAGGCGGTTGCTTCATGTAAACTTCTTCAGTCAACACACCATTCAGAAAAGCATTATTGATGTCAATTTGACGGAGCTGCCATCATTTGGACAAGGCAAGTGAGATGATAACACGAATAGTGGTTGGCTTGACCACCGGGCTGAATACCTCATGGAAATCAACACCAGCCTGCTGAAGAAACCCTTTGGCTACAAGACGAGCCTTGTAGCGAGACACAGTCCCATCGGGATTTCTTTTTACCTTGAAGATCCATTTGCAGTGAACAGCCTGTCGACCCTTGGGAAGAGGAACTAACGACCAAGTCTCATTCTTCATTAAAGCCTCATATTCTTCTTGCACGGCTTTAGCCCAGTGAGGACTACACATGGCTTCTTTGATTGAGTAAGGTTTCTTCTCTAGGCAGGTAACTTGAAGAGCCTTTGGTTTTTGAATGCCATTTTTCCCTTTCGTAAGCATGGGATGAGAATTACCTAAGGCAGAAATGTTACCCTCTGAAGCATGTACTGAACTTGAAACATGTTCCACAACTGGATGAACAGGCTCAATGGCTGGATGAGCAGTTGAAGGAATAGGCTCCTGTACATCAGATGAATGTTCTATATGATCAGAAAACATAGTACCTGCAAGAGAAATTTCATTAGTAGGTTCCACATATTCTGGAATCACAGAGAGCATAGGAGACCTTGTAGTAGATGAACTCGCCATTACAAGGTAGTACTCTTGTATTATTTGATAGAGTAACAACTTGCTGACTGTGACCAGTATCGGGGGCAGAGTTATTATTTGATGGAGCAACTGCTTGCTGACTGTGACCAGTATCGGGTGCAAAGTTATTAGCAATACTGGGAACAACTATTGGCAGCACACCAGTAGTTACAACAGTCTTATATTGACTACATGTACAATCCACACAACTTATCTTTTTATAAGGGAACTCCTCCTCGTTAAAGACAACATGGCGAGAAAGTATGACTTTGCCCGACTCATTCAAGCATCTGTAACCTTTATAAGAAGGACTGTAACCGAGAAACACACATTTTTTAGAGCGAGCTTGTAATTTGTTCTGATTAAAGGAGCGTAAACAAGGAAAACACGTACTGCCAAACACACGAACAGAAGAATAATATGGAAATTGTCCATAAAGAACTTCAAATGGAGATCGACCATTTAGAACACTAGTAGGAAGTCGATTTATTAGGTAAACTGCTAACACGAATGCATAGCTCTAGAATTTAAGTGGCAGCGAGGCTTGAGACAACATGGCAAGACCCATCTCAACAATATGCCTATGCTTCCTCTCGGCCTTACTATTTTGTTCAGAGGTCCAGGACAAGAAATATGATGCAGCACCCCATTCGTTCTGAACCAAGATCGTAAAGCCTGATACTCACCACCTCAATCAGATTGCAACATCTTGCTTTTACGATCAAATTAAACTTCAATCATTTTAACAAAGTCAAGAAAACACTGCATGACTTCATATTTGCGTTTGAGCAAATAAACCCACGTGTGTCGACTAAAAACATCAATGAACGAGACATAATAAGCAAAACCATCTGAAGAAACAACTGGTGCAGGTCCCCAAACATCATACACAATCAATTTAAAAGGCTCATTGTATTCAGTCAAAGACTTACAAAAAGGCAATTTGTGTGCTTTGCCTTGCATGCACGCAGTGCAAACATGATTGACTTTAGATTTATTTGAAGAGATATTACAAGCTTTCATAATCGATAAGACCACATCCATAGAGGGATGACCTAGCCTTCTATGCCACAGCTCCAAAACATCCTGTGAACCATAAACATTATGAGCTTGAAAACATGTCTTCTACTTATCATAAGACAGCTGATCATCATATGGCAACAACTGATATAGTCCCTCATCTGTGAGCTTCCCTCGAAAAAGAAGCATTCTGGTCTGAGCATCCTTCACAAAGCACTCAGAAGCATGAAACTCAAGAAAAACATTATTATCACGTGTAAATTGTGAGACAGATAATAACTTCTTCTTAATATTAGGAACTTGCAATATGTTTCGTAAAATTAAAGACCTCTGTTTCGTAGGCAAAAAACCTCGACCAATATGATCAATTTTGACCCCCTCACCGTTGCCCATGAGTAAGGTATTTACATCGGTGTAAACTATACCTGAGTCAAAAGCTTGTAGATCATTTGAGACATGATGCGTAGCACCTGTATCAGGATACCAGGCAGTCTCAGAAGGAATTGATGAACAAACTGAGTTAGCAGAAACAGAAGAATTGAACGTTGTAGGAGCCGCGGGAGTGAAGACCGGTTGTCCAGAAGATATGGGAAATTAATAGTACCCTGAGATATGCGGGACACCAGTCATCCCTGATGAACCAGGCCCAGCCGAATAGTACATTGGTGGATGAGGATAAGGAACAAAAGGATGAGAGAAGGGCTGAAACGTATGAGAAAACACTTGCCCTCCAGATTGTTGCTTGACTGAATTCATTCGAGCAAACTGTTTCTGGCCATCACTGGACTGCTCGTCACCTCCAGTTACACCAGTAAAATCACGATCAAAGCGGTGATAACATTTTTGCACCACATGGCCAAACTTACCACACAATTGGCACCGAGGTCTGTTAGAACTCCGTCCTCGGCCTCGACCCCGAAACCGCCACCTTGATAGTCTCGATTCTGGCCTGAACGTGTTTGTGCAACATCGCTCTTTTTAACTTCCACTTCAACGTTATTTACCTCCTTAGGTAAAACGGTCAAGTTAGCCATTGCATCTTCATGTAGGAATACTTTCTGTCGGGCTTCACAATCTATTAACATATCAGTCAAAGTTTCTAAGGACAAACTATCACGAGATGCAATAGCGATGATCGACTCAAACTTCATTGAGAGACCCGCAAGAACAACACTCACATGTTCTTGCTCAGTAACAATACTGCCAGAAGCGTTAAGTAAATCACATATTGACTTAATCTTTGCAAGATACTCACTAATAGTCAGTCCAGACTTCCTTTGAGTGTGTAAGCTATGCCTGAGAGATAAGATCTTGGTAGTAGACCGAGCACCAAACAATCGAGAGATAGCAGACCATATGGAAGAGCTTGTTGTAAGGCCAGTAAGATGAGGAAGAACCTCAGTCCCAATCGTGGTGAGCAACCAAGAAGCTAGCAATTTATCTTGCTGCCTATGGATCAAGAAAGCTGGATTAACCTTAGTCTGGCCAGACACATTTGCAACATACTCATCCGGTAAAACTACATCATTGGAAAGAAAGCTTGTCAATCCATAGCCATCAATTATTAACGCTACCTGATGTTTCCAAAGCATATAGGTGCTTTCGGTAAGCTTGACAGTATCATGCTTAGGGATATGCTGAATCCCATTGATCCCCAACTGAGCTGTCATCGAACTTACATGAGAAGTATTCGGAGATACAGTTTCAGAATCTCGAATCGGATCTGTAGTTAGATCAACCATACTGAACAAGAAACGAGCTAGCAGCGGAAGAAACAACCAGGATTGGCGAATGATACCATGTTAAGGTTCATTAACATAGCTTAATGAACAGGAAACGAGAAAAGAGAGAAAATGCTCTCTAAACCTTGATTAAGAAGAAAAAAAGAAGATACATTTCTTGTTACAATACAACTTACTTATAGCTTTATGAGCTAACAACTGAACTGAAAAACAGAAGCATAACAGTTTAAACAGAAGCATAACAACTTGAAACAGAAAACTCAACTACCTATCACTAACAACTTGTAAGCTCATAGGAACCTATTACATTCACTCATCTTCTGCACTTCTATAACGCCAATCATTCTCAATGTTTTCTAACCTCCTAAGCAGCAGAGTGAGGATCAATGATCAATACTCCTTATGCTTGCCAACATTCGAGACAACAACTAAATAAAATGTAAAAGTTTAAATAATTCCTTGACCTCAATAGTAAAGAATTATTGTTATTTCTTGAGGTTTCGGGTTCGAGCACCGAAATGCAGGAGTACAAACGATCAATGTCAAAAGGTTGAGAGTTATCTTTAAACATATATTGTCTTATACTTACCCTAAATTAATAAAAAAATAAAACAAAACTAATATATATATATATATATATGGATTTATTATCCAAATATAAATCTCAAGATGTAGGCCAAACTTGCAATTAATGAAAATTTTCGTCCACTTATATAGTTATATTGCATTATATAAAGGAAAAGAAAAAGCAATTGGAAGCAAACAAAAGCACGAGTCACAAGTGGTTTACACACCATTAGTTTTTAGTGGAGGGGAAATCAATAGCATGATATATTTGAAAATAATAATGTGATTATATTTAAATGTAATGCCCAAGCATGATAAAATTGGAAGCATATATACATTTTTATGTCATTCTCAAGCATGATATTTTTTTTACCTTTATCAGTTAAATTTATAAATTAATAATATTGATTAACAGGTGACACGATTAGGATGTGGTGGTTTTATCTTTGCTCTCCGTCTCAATCATACCATGAGCGACGCTGCTGGCTTATCTCAATTCATGTCTGCCGTAGGAGAAATGGCTCGCGGTTGCCTTGCCCTGTCGATCCCGCCCTTATGGGAAAGACATCTCTTAACGGCTAGAGATCCACCGAGAGTCACACGTAAACACCGTGAGTACGACGAAGTAGAGGGAACCATTGTCCCCTACGACGACATGGTCCATCGGTCCTTTTTCTTCGGCCCGACTGAAGTTTCGGCACTTCGCAAACTCGTGCCACAACATCTTGATAAGTGTTCAACTTTTGAGCTATTGACCGCTTGCTTATGGCGTTGTCGAACCATTGCAATTCAACCTAATCCCGAGGAAGAGGTACGCATTATATGCATTGTAAACGCGCGTTCGAAGTTTGATCCTTCGTTACCTTTAGGGTATTATGGGAACGCGTTCGCGTTCCCGGTGGCAGTATCACAAGCAGGAAAGCTTTGTCGAAACCCATTAGGGTATTCATTAGAACTCGTGAAACAAGCTAAGAATGACGTAACGGAGGAATACATGAAATCACTAGCAGATTTAATGGTAATCAAGGGTCGACCACATTTTACCGTTGTTCGATCTTACCTAGTCTCGGACGTGACACGTGCCGGATTCGGAGATGCCGATTTCGGGTGGGGCAAGGCAGTGTATGGTGGTCCGGCTAAGGGTGGAGTAGGGGCAATACCTGGAGTAGCAAGTTTTTTAATTCCATTCAAGAACAAGAAAGGAGAGGCTGGGATTGTGCTACCAATTACATTGCCAGCACAAGCTATGGAAATATTTGTGAAAGAACTAGATGCTGTGATACAGGGAAAGGCAATAGATGGGAGTGGACGTAAATCGATTTTCGTTTCATCTTCTTTGTAAATTTAGCTCTTGTAGTTTGTATGATCATTTTCAGGTGAGGACATTTGATATGTTATATGATTATATATTTTGTATGGGTATTCATCTTTCTGTTGTTATATTTGAGTGGAAATATAAAGTTGATTACATACGTGCTCTATTAATCTATTGGTGGTGGGCTGTAAGATGAATTTGGGAAGGTTTGAGCTATCTCTAGATATTTTTCTCTCCTTTTATTCTTAGAAAAAACTTGAATACGTTGAGGTAAAAGATAAAGAATCTAAGGGAATTAGGTACATATACTAATTCAGCTAGTTAACACGAACACTAACGACACAACATAATGACAGTTAATGGAGGTTCAAGGGGAAGGAAAGTGAGTTCCATGCTTCAAGGTTGATTTTTTTTAACATATAATATATTTTGTTGTACCTCTTTTAAGGATTTTTCATGTATTATCTTGGTGTCTTGTAATTTCTAAAGAATATTTCTAGAAGAGTATTTTCAGAAAAAAGAATCTCAAACATTCAATATTTCTTGAAAATTTTGGAAAACACGAGGAGAAACGTCTTTAGAAGAAAGATCTTGAAAATCTAAAATTAAAATGTTACGATTGGTTAATAATATCTCTGACAGATCCATGTGACTTATCAGAGTTAAATCTATCACCGGCTAATCATATTCATATAGCCTGCTAGCTTACATGTAGTCATAATAACTTTATGATTGACATCCACATTAAATATCATCATAAAAATCTCTTGACCAAGGCCGAGAAAAGAAGAATAGAACTACTTCACTTGTATTCATTTTCATTCTACCTCCATAAAAATAAATAATAATAGTAAAATTTGACATTGGTCAACAGCCTATCCACTACCGAGGACTATGACTTTTCATCTAAACTAAAAGAAGTGAGCCACTTGCTACCATCCTAACTCGTTTGGTCTCATCAGCATGTTTAATTACACTTTTATATTTAAAATTTATTTTTAATGACATTACATACCGTGCAATTTTATATCAGATTTCGACAATTCATTGCCAAACAAGTTCTTCGGCTACACACCGGTACCAAAATTATGGGGTTAAGGTGAAAGGGGATTTGTGCATCTATAATCATCTCATAAATGTTGGTCCATGCTCTACAATTTTCTTTTGTGGTATCATGGGGTTTGGTACGATCGAAAAAAAACCTTCAAAACAAGAAATTTATAATTTCACACCAACTTTGTTCATTTAGTTGAAATGTTGTTCAAAATCTTCCTTTGTTGTTCACATAATATAGGGTTTCTTGTACTAAAATAGAATAATCAAAATTTTAATATATGATTTGTCTACAAATCACCAAGCTACCCATCTTCATACATTTTGTGTGGTCCAAGTCCTTAAAAAAATCTTACCACCAAGCTACTAAGCTAGAGTGTTTTGCTTTGTGACAGCGCACCATTGAGTGATAAAATCTAATGATTTTAATTTAACTTTAACGTAGAGTTTTACATTATAAATACTTCCGCAAAGCCTGGATAGGGGAACTATGTTCGTCAAACAACTTCTGGATCGTGAATGGACCCTTGTCCAGGAAATTAGTGATGAAGTTGCATCGATAAGATTAAAATCGGGTGTTGCTGACCGCATTATATGGATTCATGAGAAGGATGGAATATTCTCGGTTAAGATACTGGATGATTTGCTGGCTTCTCCATGAAGTAGTGATGCGGATGATTCGTTCAATTTTGACAAAATTTGGAGTCTTAAGGTTCCGCCTAAGGTCAAGTATTTCTTATGGATGTTAAAAATTAAAGGAGTGCCAACTAAATATTTTCTAAAGAGCAGAGGAATCATGTTGTCAGATAACCAATTTTTATGTCCTTGATGTGGAGGGGCTAGTGAAGATGCTGATGATTTATTTGTCTCCTGTATCTATATGGCTGCTTTCTGGAACTCATTTTGTAGGTAGTGGCATATTAAAGGGTGCAATGTTCAAACGGTGGACGATCTTTTTGATTTCTGCTATCAAGCATGTTGGCTAGGTACAAAAAGATTAGCTTGGGTTGTGTGTTTTGCGGCTGCGATATGGAGTCTCTGGATAGCGAGAAATGATTTTGTTTTTCGGGAAAAGGCTAAAAATCTCAAAGATCTCATCTTTTATGCAAAGATGAGAGCATTAGTCTGGTGCAAGGCATTGTAAGAATTTAACTTCCTGGATGAGAAGCTGTGGTGGGAATGTCTTGGGGCTTGCGCTGATTCGAGTGACACTCAGACCATATTGAAGGTAATTTGGCAGCCTCCTTGCTTGGGTCAGATTAAGTTCAATGTGGACAGGGTAGCTTCGAAGGATGCAGCAAGTTGTAGGGGTGTGTTAAGATCAGCAGATGGGTATATGGTGGCAATGTTTTTTGGGCTCGTCTCTTATGTTAACTCTGATTTTGCCGAGCTGCTAGCTATTAAAACTGCCTTAGAGATATTTAGCGAGTCTAGTTGGTGTGGGGAGACTGAGCTAATTATAGAATCAGATTCTATTTGGAGATGGGGATCTTTATTTGAAGAGATTGATCGAAGGTTAGTGACTGTCGGGAAGGTACAACTTGTGTATACTCCTAGCATACGCAACAACATGGCAGATTACCTCACGAAGATGGGAATAAGCAAACAATAAATGTTTAAAGTCTGTTGGTAAGATGGTCTTCGGGTCTGTGTCTGTATGCTTTGCTTAGTTTAAAGCTTGTATGCTCTGCTTAGCTGGTTTTATCTAGTAGGTTAACTGGGTTGTTTGGTAGCATGAAGCTATGTTGGTTGTTATTTGGTGTTGTTTGATATGTTATGTTCATGATTTTGTCTAGCTTTGGCGTAATAAGAGCCCGTGTAGGGTTTTTGGTCCGGTTGTATGTATCCCAATCGTGGATTACACTTTTCCCCTATTTAGGCCTAGAGGGATTTTTAATGAGTCTCTCGGTTGGGGTGATTTTAACACTCGGTAATAAAATTACATGTTGAGAAAAATATCTTCATACTATGGCAATAGATTCTAGACTTCCTTTCGCATTTGCTGTCCAACGATGCAAACGCGAGTGAACGTAAGTTATTATCTGACATGGACGATCAACTAAGCCTTCGGCTTCAAAATCCAATTATCCAGTTTATAGGTTTGATCCCTCCATGCAAGGGTGTCGACACCGTTTTTCGCCCGGACGGGGAAAATATTTAGTACGACTTGGGGTTTTTTATTTGAAAAGGTTTTGAGAAATTTTGGAGCCGCCATCGACCTTTTGGGTTAGGTAGATCGAACACCCAAAAATTTTCTTTTAAAAGAGTTTTTAGAAAAACGTCATTTAAAAGATTTATCGATCCACGTGTAATCAGAAATTTATTTTTTTAATAAAAAGGGTTCGGTGGTCGATTACGTGTGGAGAAGGATACGCACCCCCACAACGCCCAAAATTGATACTTATTGATTATATATTGTCTCTAAATAGTAGAAATCTAAGAATTCAAATATATATTTAAATCACGATTCCATTATTCCTAATTCAACCATACAAATTATAGAACAAAAATTCTAAGGAAAAATAGAAAATATTCTCACATTTCCAATTGAAGAGAAAATACTCCCTAAAATACTTTAGGACGAATATTTCTCTTTCCAACTGAAATAAAAGGAATATAATAATTTTTTCTAATAATTCAATATTAAAATAATTTTTATTCTACCAAAGAAAGAAATTAAACCCATTAATCTTAATTATATTATTAGAAAAGATAAGAGATATTCAATAATTTAAAAATACTGAGACTTAATCCCTAATAAAATTAGCAAATTGTCTCGATAAGTTTAAAATAGTGAATATTTCATTTTCCCTTCAAAATTAATTAATTTTAAATGCATCAAAATTTTTAGGTTTTTCTAGTGGGGTATTTATTTATTTTAAAACATTGAAAAATGACATCTAGTTACTTTAAGATAGTCATTTCTTAATATTTTTTAAAATAAATAAATAATGCCTTTAATTCGATTATGAAATCAATCGAGTTATGCTTATGAGGCTTTCATATATATTTGAAATGTTTAGATCTATATGTACAAACAAATTTACATGGCAAAAGCTAGAAAATTAAAAATACTAATTAGGAACAAATAAATGGAAATTAAAGCAAAGATAAAAATTAAATGATATTCAATGCTGGAAATAAAATTGGACTAAATTAACAAGTGCATACTTTAAAGCATAAATATTACGTTAAATAAGCAAACAAAATATAATTACTAAAATGAACATTACAAAAATTAAAGTGCTAAATAATAAAGCTTAAATAATAAATACTAAAATGAACAATATAAATGTAAATAAAGAGAATAAAGTACTTAAGTTTAAAAAAAATTGTACATTCACCTAAATTATAAATATTAAAATATAAAACATATGCATCACTTAGAATACATACTATATATTTTACAAGAAAAATATAACGTATGCTATATTATACCACAACTAGGGACTAAAATAGAATATTACAAATTACATGTCAAATGTGAAATAAATAATGACATGAAGATAACAATCAAAATATAATTATAACAGTGACTTAAATAAAAATAATAAAAATTAACAGAACAATTCGAAACAAATAAATAATATAGTAAGTGACCAGAATAAAAGAAGCTAAAATACAGGGAGCTTAAGGATGATTTTACCATGATAGTGACCAAAACGTAAAAGGCTGAAACATATGGATCTAGAATGTGATTTGACCCTAAATATATAAACAAAGCAAAAAAAAAGCTGGAAACTGGGGACCTGTTGAGTGATTTACCCATTTTTCATAAAACCAAAATATCACCCCCAATTCACGAAAACTCTGCCGAGAAGCACCTAGATTCGCAAACTCTCCTTCAGCCATCGCTCACCGACCCTCACACGTCGGCCACCGAGCTGATGACTATCCTAAACCACCGATAACCTAAACGATGTAAAGAGGCCCCCCGACGTTCGCTCATCGCTCACAAAACTGAACCCTGAAAACTACATTCCAAACACAACCTCTCGGCCGAAACTCCTAAAGACCCTTGAGGTCACCGTCGGCCACCAACAGCCAGTGCTTCCCGGTATTGTGATGGCTTATCTCGTACGTCGTCCACCGCTCAACAGTGGC